ACTGCCCTCATCACTGTGGGCAAGCATCATCCAACTCATTGGGGGCTTGAATGGAACAAAAAGATGGAGGGAAGGGTAAGTTCTCTTTCTTTGTCCTTGAGCTAGGACGTTCATCTTCTCTTGCATTGGACATTGGAGTTCCTGTTTCTTGGGTCTTAAGATTACTTCCAAGTCTTACGCCAGTGCCTCTCCCCACATTCTTTGGCCTCCATCTTGTAAGAGATACACCATGACTCCCCTTGTTCTCAGGCCTTAGGATCTGGATTGAATTATACCACTGACTTTCCTGATTCTCCAGCTTGCACACAGTATATTGCCGCATACCTCAGCCTCTGTAATCTTGTGAAACATTTCCTGTAATAGTAAATTTCCTCTTATAAATCTGGATACAGGTATCCCTTGCTTTTCAAAAGTTTGAGTTGCACCAGTTTGCTTTTACAAAAGGCCTACATGAGTACCTGTTCTTGTTAACCAAAAGAAATCCAAAGAGGATTTTCACTTTTATGAAAAGAAGAAAGGAAATAAAAAATTAAAGGAAAAGTGAAAATAGTGTTTGTTTTGCCATAAGCTGTTATCCAGGCAGCAAGAGTGGCCGCACCAAGCTCCTTCTCTAGAGCTATACTCAGCACCTCAACATCAAACTGCCACACCTTTGAACAGTGTTTGTGAGCATCCACACTTTGTTTGAAATATCTTGTGTATCCATTAGATACACAAAGATCTAAAAAAGCTGAAAGGTTATTTTTTGGGGCTTTGGAATGATAGAGTTTTGTGTTTTTTTTTTCCCATATAAATTAGTGGTAATTACTTCTTCATTTTATATCATTTCAGTTTATAAAAGATTTATAGGAACACTCTACTTTTGGATAGTGGGGCAAACGTGTTATTCTATTAGTTTTGCTTCTCTGTAAAACCCTCACTACTACCTTTTTAAGGATAAAGTTGACCTTATTTATCTCTAAATTGTTGTGTCTAATCCCTAGGTGTTCAGTAGAATCTTATGAAAACAAAAATGGGAAGGAGAAAAGAATGGGAAGAATGATGATGAGATTTTACATGATTGGGAACTCTGAATTTATGCATCATTTTAAGAAGTTACTCTCATGTGATGTAGTGTAACTGTCCCTCAGAACAATGTATTACTTAAAACATAACCCATGGGAAATTTTACTAGTTACCAAGCACGTTTAGATATAGCCTCAAGAAAAACACATACTGGCAACAGGTCTCTGGGGGACAGGACGATATATGGCCTTGAAGCAGAGCAGCTGGGGATGCCCGGCTAGCTCAGGGCGGAATGCTGCCTGCTTCAGTTTTCTGTTATCCCTCCACCATCCCCACCGCCCCGCTGAGAGTACCTGTGGCTAATTAGGTAAGTCCTCTGAATGTGCTTATGTGCTTGCTCAACTATAAACGTTATACTGCTTGACCAGACATATTTTGCCCTCCTTGTTTATCTACTAGGCATATGATTAATATTTGGCCTTCTTTTGCTCTTTTGTTGATTACTGTGTATATCTAACAAAAGCGGGACTGAGGAGTTGTTCGGGGCAACAGTCTTTTCTACTGTTGACCCCTGCTCCCTTTCTCTTGCAGCTGACTTGTTTGTGCCTCGTTCTTCTCCCATGCACCGTCAGGAAGGGGCAATGTAGATTTGGAATCCAGGACTAGGGGTGTTGTGCCATCTGGCTGGTTCATAAACTAGCTGGAATTGAGAGAAAATCCTTTGAGCTCATATGTGCTTTTGAAGTCAATGAAGATAAGAGATTCACTTACAGATAAGGAAAGGAGTTAAGTGTCTGACCTGGACAGTGTTAGGTTCTCTAACATAAAAGATGAAAGTCCCCCAGAGAGTGAAGGCTCAGTCATGGACTGGCGCTCTTCATTAACTGTTACAATTGAGAATGTGGACCTAGAATCACTGCAAAGAACAGTTAAGGGAGATTAACCAAAGGACTAAATAAAGCATGTCTGGGAAGGGATCAGGGTTCTCAAAGTATTCTGCTCTAATATTCCATCCAAACTCTGGAGTAGACATTTTATCCCATCTTTAATTCTTCTTTCTCTTTATAGTCTAGCCTGAAGAACCAAAAGCTCAGGAGTTCATCTCTGTATGAACTCCTTTTCTTAAAAATGTTTCTGTTGACTACGGTTACCTTCTTCTCTAATTGATAAAATCTTTCTTTATCTTCCAGGGTCCACTTTACTAACTTCACCTATAATTTTCAATGTAGAACCCATCTTCTTTCCTGAATACATACTGTAGTTTACACCAATAGTGTACAAATTACCCTATATTATAATTAGCTGTTTTTTCTCAGTAGTCAGCAAGTTCTCTAGTCTCAGCTGTATGTATGTATGTTTTATGTATGTAAGTATGAATGAGTATGTATACCGGTTCTGGGTTTACATTAGTATCTAGCATACAATAACTATTGAATGAAAGAACTTCTATTGTTTTATTCCTTGTGTCTTTCTTTTTCCCAGGGGTTGGCTCTACTTTTAAAATTCCCTCCACCAAAGGAGAGATTGAGAAAGAGAGAAGGGAAGGGAGAGAGAGAGATAGAGAGAGAGACAGGGAACTTATCTCTCTTCAACAACTTAATTCATCTTAAACTTTTTCTGCCTCTAACTAGGTCATTTATTCCTAGACAGTTATTGTACATAGGAGTCAAATATTAAGGCTCTGAAACTAGACCTGGTTTGAGGTTCTGGTCTCATTGCTTACAAGTTCTGTGCCATATAGAAGCTCTTATAACCATTCTAAGTCTATTTTGCTCAGCTATAAAATGAAAATTATCATTTCTTCATGAGTTGTGAATGCTGCATTCATGCATGATAAATGCTTGGAGCAAGGAGGGGCATAATAGTCTGCTCAATAAATGGTAGCTATTTTCAATATCTTTAAAACCATTTCAAAGTATATTCATTATATGTATTAAAAGGTATAGAAAGAAATTTTTTAAAGAAGTACAACAATCAATTTAAATTCAGCATTATCCTCCATAAAGCAAATTCTAAGTAATACTGAGATATATATCTAAAAAACTAATGACTTTGATGGGAGGAGTACTTTGTAAATTTTGTCAGTGTGTAAAGGTCTCTGTTAAGCTTACTAACAATTATTTTACAAAATTTTTTTAATCCAAAGGAAGCACAGTTTTGAATTTTGAGCCTGAATGAGTAAGCTTTAATGTGATTAGGCTCATTTGAAAAAGTTTCTATCATACAAAATAGACAAGCTGACTTATTAAAAACAAAAACAAAAACAAAAACCAAAGTTTACTGTACTTAACAGGTTGTATTTATTATTTTCTATAGTTTCTAAAAAGTAGAATATATTGTAAGATTTTGTTAAAAATAATTCATTACACAGTTTTTGGAAGGTTAGTGGCAAACATGGTTTACAAGTAAAAGATACAATTTTCAAACTAAAATCAGTTAATGGTCTTGAATTTACAGAAGCAAGTTAAGGTTAAGTTTAAATATCTGAAGCAGTTTCTACATTAAAGCATTTCTAAGAAATAGAAAACTAAAAAATTTAGATCAAGCACCAGCTGTCACCATGTCACCAAGTTAACACTAGTTCCTCACTGGTCCCCATCACATGATGAAGAATGGGAGGAGAAAGGGAAGGAACACTTATAGAGAGAAACAGAACCCTGAAATTACATTTACTTAAGGGTTCCCCCAAAGGCATCTTGGTCAAGTTAATACATTTCTGAGGGGCAGAAATAGGCTATAATAGTTAAGGCTCAAGATCATGCATTCATAATAAAATACAATTATTGACATTTAAGTGACATTGGATGTCATACAACATATTTGAAGTTTGCCATTTAAGTCAACAGTATATATATTTTCTTTCCAAATCCTTTAGGATTTTGTAGGCACATTGAAATCAATCTTCATACAAAGGGAACAAATATCAGAATCTCATACTGCATGGATACAAGTAGCTACATTTTTGTGATTATGTCGAAAACCAACTATTTGTGTCTATCTTTTAAATACAATTTCAATAGTGAAAATTAATATTTAGGATTTTCAAGTTTTTCAAACGCAAAACCTTTTACAGGAGGTGTGTGTGATGGATTAAAAACAGCAAAAACAAACTCAGAAAGATATATGAGGAAGTGAAAACTAATTTGTATATACTAATATTACATAATACCACCAACAACAAACTTACACTTTGATCTCCTATTCAGGTTCCTCACAGTTTCAGTGGTCATTTTTTTCTCTAACTTATAGAGAACCACAAAGTACAGTGGAAAGTATTTCAAAGTGGACACAGTTTCCCAAGTAAGCATCAAGACTCTGTGAAAATCCCTAGACATAATGGCAACCCTTCTAAATCATATTATGACTTTCATTTGCCAGATCATACTACTCAATGTTACATCACTGATAAATGGTAAATATGATAAGATAATACAGGAGTCTACTAACAGTTTCTATATATATCATTTTAATAGATGTATACTTAGAAAAAGTATAAATGTGAAAAAAATGAGGAAAATGTAGGCAATAATTATAGTTACCTTTATGCTTCTTACTCTCTGAATTAATTCCATTGAAGAGCTAGAGCTTAGGTAGAACTAGCCAAAGAGATGAAAAACCAGGAATCCAGAAACAATAAAAGAATATGAATTCCCAGTACCAAAAATAAAAGAAAATAAAAACAAAAACCAAGGCTCCGGTCAACCAAACATGGTTTGGATCAGCCCAAGAATATCTGTGGTTGATCTCAAAGGAAGTTTCTAAGAACAGCCTTTTTCTCTTCCCCAGTTGGCATCTGTGTAGGCAAGTTTATGATTTAATGGCCTGTAACACTGTTATTTTTTAACACTATCCCACCTTAAGAAAGTACTTATTGTACTTGCTTATTTGTGACTAAGTCCTACTAATGGTGATGTAAATCCCATAAAATAGACATAAAATATACAAGGAAGCCCCTTTTTTAGAACATGAAGAAGATTAAAATGTGGTAAGTGGGATTAGATTTGGCTTTGAATAGTTGACTTTTCCTCAGCTTTGTCAAAATAGGCTCTTTCTGTGGTAGCTTGAACTTCCTTGTCATCATCTATCATATGAATATCTGATGTATTTTTGTCATTTTGCCTCAAGCGGTAACTTTTATAAGCACGTTGAATTATGGTTGCTGAGACTGCCTCTTGTTTTCGTTTCAAAGTAGTAGTAATTGGCTCATATGTGATCTTAAAAGGGTTGGCTAACACAAACCCTGATTCCATCTCTGAAATCATTTTCTCCATCCTCACATCTTTACCCATAACTCGCTTTGTTAAAGCAAGTAAGATGTCAAGGCAATGAATTCTGTCCCCAGCAGCCATGGGAAGATCCATGGCAACGAGCTGTCCCTTGTTTGGTTTTGCCATAAAAAGAGGAGGGTCAAGGGCAGCTGCAAAGTCTGAAAGCCTGCTAGAGTCTATATATTGGGTCCTATCAGGATCAAACCGCTTCCATACCTGAAAGAATTTCCTAAAATCATCTTCACTTAATGTCTTGGCTTTTTTTTTAGAAGCAATATTTAAAAATTCAATGACAACAACAATGTACATGTTTACTATGATCAGCCATGATATGAGGATGTAACTGACAAAATAAATAATCCCAACATAGGGGTTGCCACAATCTCCCCTAACCTGAGTCCCAGGGTTAATTTTATCAGGATCACAGTCAGACCATTTACTGTTGAAAATTGCATTGAGCATCTCATCCCAGCCAGCAAATATTGTAACTTGGAAAAGACAGAGCATACTGCTGCCAAAAGTCTCAAAGTTGGACACATCATTAATTCCAGCTTCTTTTTTAACATAAGCAAAATTGTACATTCCAAAGATGGCATAGACAAACATGACCAGGAAGATGAGAAGACTGATGTTCAACAATGCTGGTAGAGACAGCATCAAAGGGAGCAGCAGATCATGGAATACCTTTGGTCCTTTCCCAGGACGCAGGATGTGGATAATCCGTGAGAGTCGTATCAGTTCCATAATGGAAGGAGACACAAGGTAGTATCCTACCATTATAGGCAGAACTAGTTCTTGGTGTGGGAGAAGATAAAACAGGCAATAAAATTATTTAAATGTGATTATATTTAGAGAAATATAAATTATTTTATTTCATTTATTATTTCAATTATTTATTTCAACTATTTATTATTTCAATTACTATTATATCATTTTTTCTATATGTTAAGATCATTTTATTAATCCTTCCCAAATAACAGAACATATTGAAAATGGGAATTACCCAAACACTAACTGTGGCAATTTTCAGGGTATCTACCAAAATTTGGAAGAGAATTATTTGCACATCATCTTAAGAGTACTATAGGTCAAGTATTTCTGGAATCACAAATGGCATGATTCCATAATATAGAACATTAGTCGTGTTTTTTTCTGGTGGTAGTTGTTAAAGAGTTCAATCCAGGCTTTACTGGATATCTAATAAAGGTGTCATGCAAATATGCAAAGATGAAGACTTGACTTTTGTCCTTAAAGATCTTATAATCTAGAGAATAGAACTAGATATTTAAAGTTATTATCATGCAAGGTAGAAAGACTTAGGTGATCAATATAATTGCAAAAATGTTTGGCATTCTGTGATTCACAGATTATAGTTTAATTTATTTATTTCATAAATAGTATTTGGATCCTTAGCAGTTTTAAATGAAATTAAGTAAATGAGTCCTGGCCTAGAACTTTTTTTGTAGCAGTTGTAGTTAGATGAGGGAACTATGGAAGTGAGAGCTACCACTATAAAACAAGGTAAAGTTACAATTACCCTAGAAGTATAGGGCATATGTCCTCTGGAAGTACTGGAGACAATGAGGTTCATTTAGAGTTGAAAAGGTGGGGAGGAGAGAATCCCATGAAGCTTCTAATTGAGATGGTATGTTTGTTGAATCTGGAAGGACCATGTCTCATATTTCCCTTCAATTTGGTCATTGTCGATGACAACATTCTCTCTGACATTCTATCTTACCTATATCTTCGTCTCCACTTTGTTATAGTAAATCTTCTACTCTGACTCAAATTGTCACTTCTCCTCACAATCTTCCAAATTCTTCCATTATGCCAGACATATCCCCATTTAATTGTAGACAATTTTTTCTACATCCTCATCACTACATTTTCTTTACTTCCTTTCTTATCTAAAATCTGACTTTATCTTAAGGATACTCTTTCCCTTGTAACATTGTCAACTGCAGACAGCTCTTTCTTCCCACACCATATTTCTTGGGGTTGAAAAATGGAATGACCAAGCATCTTTTATTCTTTCCAATGTGATTTCTAGATACTTTAAGTCAATTTTATAAAGAAAAAAAAAATTTCTCTCCTGACACATTGTGGATCATGCCACTGAACTATAATATTGCCTACCCTTTCTTGGCTCTATGATCTATTTATTCCTTCTCATTCACACTCATTGGAGACTTATTAGTACTTGGTTCACTGTCGCCCTTTCCACCCCAACATCCACCATCAACAACTCATTGAAAGGTCAGTTTCTTCTTCTTTAACTTTCTTAACTGTGATAATCTCCATCATTTTACTTTAGTCATATGCAGCTATGGCCACATTCTGGACGCAGGATTCTTCACCTTCTGAGATTTCAAAATCAAACAGCTTTTCTTTGTGCTTTGCTCTCCTTCGAGATCTCTGATTCAGTAACTCTCTCTTTAATCCCAAATGGCTTTTTAATTCCATATTCCTCTTATTTTCTTCCTATCAGCCCCTTCCTGCTTTTATGTACTTTGCTTTCAGGCTTCTTGTGCTTGTCTATCAATAGGTAGACTGCTTCTACTACCAAATGAATAGGTTGAATTTTCTGGAAGCACAAGTAGGCAGATAGTTTGTCCCCATTTTCACTATTGATTATATAGAATATGTTTGACACAGTTAACATTTAAATATTGTCTCTTGTGGAGTTTACATTCTAGTATGTGTCTTATAGGGAGGCAGAAAATAAACTTTTCCCTGCCTAAAACATTTTTATCTTAGATTCTTTACTTGGCTACCCCTGTATCCAATAAGTTTCAGTTTAAATTTTGCTTCCTCCATGCAATTTCCTCTGACCTTTACTTACTGTTAGGTTCCCCTCACTCTTTTGTGCCACTGTAACACCCTGTGCTTTTTCCCTTATCACCTTAATAGCACAACATTATATATGTACTATTTAATCATCTCTATCCCTTACTAGGCTGTCAACTATGTGCATACAGAGGGTATGCCTACCTTGTTTACTACTGGATTCTTTGCATATAGCATAATGTGTATTCACAAAGGGGATAATCAAATATATTTGTTAAATAAAAGACTGAGGTCCCCAGGGTAAGAGAAAACTGGTGACAAATTCATTAAAGCCTAACACTCTAGTGCTGTGAAAGTTGTAAACAGTTTTAGAGATTAGAGAAAAAAGAATAGGGACCGTGAAAGGTTATATCATGCTAAGACATAAATCTCCTTCTAGAGCCATCCTAGAAAATTCTGTATGTGATACACTGAAAAGGTGACCTCTGAAGTAAAGTGTATGTATTAATTCAACAAGTATTTTGAATATCTTATAGCTGTCAAGTGTGTATACATGTATGAATGCAAAAATTCCTACTGGAATAAGAAGGATCCCTTCTCTGTTTGCCTGTTTACCTTTGTCTGTATCTGAGGACACATTTAGTATAAGAACTTGCCTGAATTAGTATTATTATAAAAGAAAATTGACTAAAAATCTTACCTATAACAGAGAAAATGACCACCATAAAATCAAAAATGTTCCATCCGATGGTGAAATAGTTACAGTCGAAAGCAATGAGCTTCAGTACACATTCTCCAGTGTATAGTATAATAAGAACTAAGTTAATCCAGGAGAGAGCAATGTCCATATTTTGACTCTGTTCATCACTTTGTATCATAATAGTTATTGCTTGAAAACAGATAAGAGCCATAATGATGGCATTAAAAACTTCACTTGTTACCAAGTCAAAGACGAATCCTTGGAATTTATTCTGTGGATGAAAAAAAGAAAGGCATAGTGGCCTTATTAATAGCTTATATATACACACATATTGTCTGTAGAATTATAATTTCCCTCCTAGCATAAACAGGAAAATAAGTGAGGGCCCAAGTTTTTACCAAACTATAATTACAGTGTATGCAGTCAAAACAAACAAAGGACCATCCAAACTTTGTTAAGGAACATATTTTTAAATTTTTCCAAGAGCATTTGTGAAGAATTTCAAAAACACGTTTTCATTTTTAAAAGAGAATATACAGAAGAAACTTACTCCTGGGCGCCGGATTGTTTTTTGAGACTCCTCACACAACAGCCTTCTCAGTGCACGGGATTGTTTCTTCTGTTTGACTGTTATAAAGATATTTGAGCCTCCCTGGTAAAGAAATGAAAGAAAAAGATATTAAAATCACACTGAATCTAAATTTTACCTTATCATTAATAGGCATTTTGGAAAGGTTGGTAATTACTGATTTAATATTTTACAAAGGGCATAAGGCAATGATCTAAATCACGTTTAACTACGTCTGATTTTTTGCACACAAATCCACACTAAACACATGTAGAATATTGGGTAATGACACATATCAATTATGTTCTGGTGCACTTTCTTGTGGGCAGTCAACTCTTCTTCAACTTTTCATTCTCCTGAGGCCTACCTCATGTTAAACAGAGATGAAGGAGAAACAGTGGGGGGAAAATGGAAAGGTTTGCTAAGAAAAATTGAATTCCAAAGCTAAAGATAAAATTGGTTTGTACCTTCTAATAAGCAGGAAAAAAACAGAATTGGTCATTTATATGTTTTTATATGTCCATATATTACTTAATTTTCCAAATAATGCTTATCAGATGATATTTTTATACTACTATGCCAACAGCACCTTGTGTTTACATCTTCATAGTGCCTTCTAGAGCTTATTTATTTTTGTGTTCCTAGTGCTAATTTTAGTATCTTACACAGAATGTATAAAGTGAATAAGAGGTAAATAGTTAATGTGTTAATCTAAAAATTAGGAATTATTACTGCCCTAAGTCAGGACTCAGTCACTTAAATTAGACGAGAGTCATGAATTTGAAGTCCAGAAGCAAACCCTAGGATGTTATCCCATTGGGCTGAAGTCCCAAGAAGCTGAAGCATCCATCACATGCGTAGTTGAACACTGTTCTCCTAATCCCATTTGATTAGCAGAGACTGAGTGGTTTGTTTACCAGAGTCTGCACGTGGCTGAACTTTGATGACATGGCCGAAGATAGAATTTCAGAATTAGACTATTTTTTTCTTTGACTTTTTAGAAGGTTTCCCTACACCTCTAGAGAGTAGATGTCTGTGGTTAAAATAAGCAGACTTCAAAGACTTTTGAGGCATTTGCATTTGTAGAAGCCCTGAAGGAAATCTTGTGTGGAGATGGTGTCAGTTGGATGTTTGCTTCTGTCTCTGAATTGTCTCCTACTTGTTTCAAGCACTCCTATTTGGGTCATATATTTAGGACTCTCTCTATGTCTAGCTGGAAAACCTACTGCACTGACAAAGATGTCTATGTTGGTTATGACCTGAAGCTGTGAACATATCAGAGAGTAAAAATGTGTAGCATATTTTTCTTGAACTTCTTTACATATTTGCGCAGACATACCACAATATTACTTGTTTGTCAGCATGTCATTTTTTACAAACATATATATAGAAACACTTGTAACTTTTAGCCTTTAAACTTGCCCATTTACATTTGAATATAGAAAACAATGTAAAGATGAACACTTTAACAATATTTGTCAATATGCAAAAATATCAACTTATTTTTTTTAGCTAAGTACCAAATAAAAATGATATTTAGCTGAATCCCAAACTAATTATTTGAAGCAGGACATTTTTATAAATGTGCTTGATTTTCTCAAGCACTAGTGAACAAAAAATATTTGTACTTATCTTTATTTTATGCGTGTTGAAATTAGCAATAATAACACCAATCAGCATACTCAAAGGAAGAAATAATCCAATAATAATGAAGTTGATAAAGTAACAATACATGTAGATGTTCTCTTCAAAATTAGGTTGCCTATTTACCTAAAAGTTAAGTTAAAAAATAAGCAAAATAAGGTAGGGCATAGCAGATTTCTTAGGGCATAACAGATTTAGGGCATACAGAAAATATTCTCTATGATATTATAATGATAGTTATATGTCATTACACATTTGTCCAAACCCATATAATGTATAACACCAAGTAAGCCCTAAGGTAAACTATGGACTTTGGGTGATTATGACGTGTTGATGTAGGTCCATCCTTGGTGAAAATGTGCCCCATTCTGGTGAGTGGTGTTGATAATAGGCAATGCATGTGTGGGGACAGTGGGTATATGGGAAATCTCTATACCTCCCTCCCAATTGTGTTGTAAACCTAAAACAGCTCTAAAAAGCAAAATCTTTAAAAATAAGAATAAATTAAAAAGTGGAAAAAATAAGCAGAATATTGGTATACCAACTTTTTAAAACATAAAATTTATAAGCAGTTTACAACAAGAAAAACCAACAATTCTCCATGAGGTAATGTTTCCACTTTGTTCTTTGGTGAAGTGGCATTATTGCTTTGTTTACTTGGATTTTAAAGTTTGCTGCATTGGTTTCATAATTGTAATGAAGTCTGATAATCTTTCAAATGGGCCTACTGGGCTTCAACCACTGTACATAATCCTGGGAGGATTTCATTTTCAGTGACAGAGTCAATCTGAAATGTATTTAATTTCTGTCTAGCATAAGCATTTGCTTTCATCATGTTATTTATTCTGTTATTGTTGTTACCCTTTTCTTGAATTGAGAAAATAACTTTGCCTTGAACCTTCACAATGGCTCTAAGATGATATTGTACTTACACCAATAGAATCAACTGCTGAATTCATAATAGTGATCCATCCATTAAACGTTGCCTGTAAAAATGGCATGTATTTAATTCTTACGGCAATTGTAAGCTTCGTGGCAAATAAAATGTAAAACTCAGTTTGTTATTAATATAGTAAAACTCGATTAGTAAGGCTGACCACATTTCAATATACCATGTAATTGAGACCTTTATAATTTTCATTATTGCATTTATATTGTCTATTAACACGAATTTAAAACCACTTAGCTTCATTGTAGTAGCTTAATTGTAGTTGATAACAAAATACTGTAAGATAGTAGAAATAGAAAGAGGTATATAGATAAATTGTAAATAAATACATGGTGCCCAAGTGTCATTTTTACTATACTGCTACACATGTGCTTTTCTATGGGGGAGGTAAGACAAGAATGAATGATTTATCTCCTCATTTCTGTTAGATGTTGGGTGACTGAGGAGCCATAGCACTAAGTAGAAACAAAACAGTAGTACCCTGAGCTGGACCAAAAATTGTGACCCTATTACCTTATCAATGATGACAGAAGTAGAAATAGTTTTCCAGTACCTGCCATCTTCCCTGTCAATCCTACCTTCCTCTGTACTTCCTTCTCCCAGCAGAGCAGCATCTGTGTTTTACTTTTGTCTTTCCAAACAAGGCTGGTGTAGCATGTCCCATATCTACTAGTAATTGCTAAAATATGTTATAACCAATTCTAGTAATCAGCCACATTTTGTTCTTTATTTCCACCTATAATATGAATGAGCATATAAAAACATCTATTTAAAAAAATCAGAAGTGAACTTACCACTTGAAGCAGTGAAAGGAAACCATTTCCAACATTATCAAAGTTCAGTTTTGCATTCTCCCATGGCACGGACTCATTAAACACAAGGCTTTCACACTGACTCTTATTCATGACTTCAGATATAGGAAACCTTTCTCCACTTGTTGGGTCAATGCATTCATAGAACTTGCCAGCAAATAAGTGTACTCCCATGATGCTAAAAGCCAGCCAGATCAAAAGGCAGACCAGAAACACATTCAAAGCAGGTAAAGTTGTTGTTATCAAAGCTCTCACAACCACCTGGTGTATAATGAAGAAACAAACAGGTAAACTTTAGGTAAGAAATGTGAAATCACTTTAATTGGAAATACTAAATGTAATGTCATATAGAAATAACCCAAAAAAGGCCATCGTTAAAAATTCAATAGGCCACATGCCAGTATCTGAATAACCTAAATAATAAATTTTAATTAAAAAATAGACATTAAAAATTCAGATGGTCTCAAAATTTTTGTACTAAAGGAATCGCTAAAAGGCAACAGAATTGATTAGCAAAATAATTATTTCACTGATTCAACACATTTATCACCTTCTTATATAGACAACCGAACCTGTGTGACTATAGGTGTATGTATTAGCTAGAAAGTGCATAAAACGAGAAAGAAACAGGCCTACATCTAAGTCTTGGTGATTCTAACTTTTGGAAGGATTAGCCTACAAAGCAGACACTGAAGTGTCGGGGAAAGTAAGAGGAAGACCAAGAGATCACATATCAGTGAAGTCAAGGCAAGAGGCTACGTCAAGAAACATTGAATGGGCATCTGAAGCCAGCAAAATAAAAAACCACCTCACGGCACCACTCTATGTCCCTGGTGAGCCACTCCAGAGTGGGAAATATGGGAAATAAATCTACCCCCTCAACTCGAGTAACAGTAATAGTCTATAATCACTGTTTCCATTTCTTCAACTCCCTTCTCTCTTGAATATTACAATCGGAATTTTATTCTTATCACTCCACTGTAGTGGTTATGGCAAATGTAAGCCAGTTCCTATAGCCAACAGAAATTTCCACTCTTTGCTATTTCTTCGTCTTTTCCTTAGCATTACAATTTTGACTCCTTTTCTCCCAATCTCATTTCTCTTTTTTTCATGAGGCACCATCAATTCTCTGTGCTACAACTCTATCCTCCCTTCCCTCAGCCATTACTAAATCCATATCCTTTTTGCTGTGTTTTCTTGCTGATATTCCTTAGTCTTCTGGCTTTGAATAAATATTTTAACTTTTAACTGTGCTTTCAGTAACACTTAATTTTATTTCTAAAACTAAGCCACAGATCCTTCGTTGGCATTTTAGATATTTTGAGAGGCCCACTGATACCTCTAATGAAAAAAATGTTATGCTTATCAGAAAATACACTTATGTACGAATAAAAGCTGTAGATACAGTTGACACAAATATTTCAGTAATGAGAGAACCCAAGACTGGAGCTTATTAAATATAGCAGGCATTAATTTTGTAATCATGTGACTTCAATGATATATTTTCAGAAATCTTTCAACTACAGAACCTCCAGAGGTTAAGATGAAGCTTAAGATCTGAATCTGTAACAGAACAGAATGGAGAGCCCAGAAATAAACCCACGCTTATATGGTCAATTAATCTATGACAAAAGAGGCAAGAATATACAATGTGAAAAGACAGTTTCTTCAATAATGGTGCTAGGAAAAATGAGCAGTCGCATGCAGAAGAATGAAACTGGACACTTTCTTATACCATTAAACATAGATAATTTTCTTATTGGATCCTATTTATATTGACAATGTGGCATTCTGTAATATTAAGCAAATAGGCATGTTGTGATAAGTAATCTTTGTAAATGAAAAATACAAGAAAACACTGATGTGTGATTATGAAATGAAAGGTGAAATTAGATTTTTGCTGCTATTTCCGCACACAGTTGATCACTGTATATTACATAATTACACTATGTGTGGTGGTCATCAACTCTGTTTTCTTCATTAGGTCAAGCCATAGCAGGTGAATTTCCATCATAGGCCCTAAAGATTGAACATTAGTTGTTTTTTGTGGCTCAACCTATTAGTTTTACTCACAGTGCTCAGAAGAGATTTTAACATGTGGGTGAGGGAGAGAACACAAGAGTTCATAGTTTGTTATGTGTAACTTAAAAAAAACTAATTTATTTTAAAATCACTTTTATTCAGAATAATTACTTAGTGTGCACGATATTCCTATAACTTTAAACAGGTAGGTGATCAAAGTTTCATTTTCTGTCAGTTATATTTTCAACATTGAGATAATTTTATTAATATTCATAGACATCTGTATGGGTTAGAATGGTATTACTTTTTGAAATTTAATATTCTCTCCCAACTATTAGGTTTTTTTTCTTATTTTTATGATTTTTCCTATCTTATGAGCAATAAAGACCTAAAATCTTAATAAATTTCTACTATACCTTCTATATATTAAAATAGTAGAATGGAAGGTTTTTGTATTAATACTGTTAATGATGCAAATGAGAAGACTATGAAGATTTAATTTATAGAAGTTCAATAATAATAAATAAAAATCTACACATTAGCTTAGAAACTTTTTTCTTACCTTCATTCTTTCAAACTGAGATAGAACTCTGAGTGCCCGAAGGAATTTAATGGAAGTAAGTGGTTTGAATTCCTCCCGAGATTTGCCTATTAAGCTCAGACAAAACACCTATATATATTTAAGGAAAAACAGAGTGAATAGGGGGCTGAATTTTTACTTAATCAAAACAATCTGCAAAATAAGCTTTGCATTTATTATAAAAAAGATAAACAGTTCAAACCTTACCAAGAAGTATGCAAAAGATTTAAAGTATATTTCCATATATCTTAACAATGACTTATAGAAATGTATAAGAAAATAACTTTGTGGTAAAATTATTTTAAAAAACATAAAACAAATATTTTCTGGTAGTAGGAATATATATTATTGAGATAAATAAAAATTTGTATATTTGACATACATTATGATTAAGGGTGAATATTTATATAAATTTTGAGTTTGAAATTAGATTAAGAATCAGTTTCATGAATTTTTGTCATCTAGTAATAGTATACTAGGCATTCATAAAAGCAAAATTTGGAATATATTTACATATTAATTTATACATAATTATTTAAGATAATAGAATAGGATTTCAGAGAAGAGGCATCAAGGAAGATATGAATATTTTTAAGTCCAAATACAAATTACAAATATGTATAGAAAGATACTAAGGTGATATTTTAAAGTAAGCATATGCATAAAAATCATTCGGGGTTGGGGCGCCTGGATGGCTCAGTGGGTAAATGTTTGACTCTTGGTCTCAGCTGACGTCATTATCTCAGGGACATGAGGTTGAGCCCCATGTCTTGGGCTCCATGCTTGGTGTACAGTCTGCTTGGGATTCTCTCTTTCCCTCTCCCTCTGCTCCTCCCCCTGCTCTCTCTCTCTTTCTCTCTCTAAAATAAGTAAGTAAATAAATAAATAAATCTTTTAAAAAGTCAATCAGGATTAATAAATATTAATAGAGATCAAGCAAGATGGTAGAGTTACGATTAACTTTTATAGTATCTTCATATTTTCTGTATTTTCAAGACAGCATAAATGGAAAATTTGTTCTTTCTTATGCTATATTAAGAGATGGTCTGAAAGTGAGCTTTGAAGTAAGCATATGATTTATGTAAGTGTGGAGGGATGTGGACATGTAAGAACAATGACTAGGAAAGAGGAAAATGGGTTGAAAGTATATCGTGATTTTGTTGGAGCAGAAGGTTAATTTGGAATAATTTATTTAGAAGCCAGAGACCAGATATTGTAAGTCATCTTCTTTATACAGTGAGAAGCTTCAATCACTGATTATAGGACAGGAACCATCTGTTCAGTCAACAAAAATTACTGAGTACCTATTATGATACATGAATTGTTCTAGGCATTGAGGATAAGAAGAGAACCATATTGGGAAAACAAATTTTCCCTAAAGGAGCTAACCTTTCAGTGGGGAAAGACAAACAATCATAATGAATAAACAATGACTATCAATTAATATAAAACATTAACAGGTGCTATGGAGATGAAGAAAGTGGGAAAGGACAAGGGAGCATTGTAGTGGAAGCAGTTTTAAATACAGTAGTGCAGAAAGACCTAACCAGCATTTTTATTTGAGTAGCTGTAAGTGAGGTAAGCCAGCCAAAGTTCCAGGTGGAAGGAAAAATAAGTGAAAAGGCACTAAGATGGCAGTCATTCTGGCATACCTAAAGGTCTTTAGGAAGGTCAGTGCTGATGCAGCAGTCTGTTGACTGGGATGGGGAAATGGAGAGTAGGAGGAGTAAGACTGGACCATGTAGAGACTTGTAGGCTTTGATTGCACAGAGTGTAGCTTTTCACTGGGAGTGAAATGAGATGTTTATTGGAGGGTTTCAAGAAGAAAAGAGACTTGAGCTGGCTTCGATTTTACGACAATAGAATGCATGTAGTTGCTGTGTGGAAAATGGAATGAAGGTGTGCGGTGGCGGAAGCCGGGATCTCGGGTTGAGAAGTGTTGCACTGACCCAAATGTGAACTCTTGGTAGCTTGGATCAGTGTGGTGATGGTGAAGGTTGTGGTAAGTTGTCTAATTTTGAATATATGACTTAAAAATTGAACCAACAAAATTTAAATATTTTAGGATACTGATGTGCACTGATGCGCAATAGGCCTATTCTGTTAGTAGTGGGTTCACAGGTGATTGTTAGAATAATCCAGGAATGAAATGTCGAACTTTTAAAATATTAGGATGAGAAGAAAAGGACAAATGTTAAGCACTACAAATGAAGATATAGGGGATTTTGGTAACTTAAAATATACAGAGAGAGGAAAAAAAAGGAAGATAGAAGTAAATGCAAGAGTTAAGTGAGAATTCGAGTAAAGATGGAAATCAAATAATGAACGTTTCAATTTTTCTTTAAAATACGTACCAGAACAACCATGAAGTCTAGCTTGTACCAGCCATTAGTGAAATAGGCTTTAAAACCATATGCCATCCACTTTAGAAGCATTTCCAGAATGAAGATGTAAGTGAAGATCATGTCAGCATATTCTAATAAGATTTTAATAGTTTTTCTCTGGTCAATATAGATATCCTCAAAAGCCTGTGGGTAAAAAAATTAAGGATTAGTATACATGTAATTTCTTAAAAAATCTTTGGCATAGGGAGGAATGAAATGCCTTCCCTATTAAGCAGATGGTGAGTCAAGTCATAGGTTGTTGTTTTAAGGGCTGGTTCACTTTGTTTGGATTTATTCACATAATCCGTATCATTTTCTGATCCCATGCCCATAGCAGACATCATTAATTGGTTCCAGAACTTCTTCTTATACAGACTCAACTTGGCACCATAGTGATCCAAAAAACTTCTCTCTAGTCAGTTAATCACACTCAATATAAGAGGTGGAACCTTTACTCACATCTGACTGGGTCTTATCTCTAATTCCATGTTGTCAACTCACAGGTGCATGCTAGGTGCTAATAGAGAAGTAGAGATTTTTTTTTTAATTTGTCTTCAGATATCCACACTGCTATTACAAGCAAAGTCATAAAACTTGCACTGCCGCAGAAATAATCAGATAAACCAGTGGAAGCACATGAATAGGAAATAAAACGATAATCATTTCTCCCAAGCTTCTTAGATTTAATAGGTCAACATTAATTTTACTGTGGAGGATGAAAAGTCTGACAATGTCATCTAAAGCAATTTCATGTTTTTCTTTTAGCACTGAAAAAGGCAAAAAAGTACCAATAACGCCAAGCAGACTTATATCGAAGTGCATTCAAGGTCAAAAAGTCAATAAGGATTAGAATAATCATATACAGGGGCGCCCGGGTGGCTCAGTGGGTTAAGCCGCTGCCTTCGGCTCAGGTCATGGTCTCAGAGTCCTGGGATCGAGCCCCGCATCGGGCTCTCTGCTCAGCGGGGAGCCTGCTTCCTCCTCTCTCTCTGCCTGCCTCTCTGCCTACTTGTGATCTCTGTCAAATAAATAAATAAAATCTTAAAAAAAAAGATTTTATTTATTAATTTGACAGAGACACAGCGAGAGAGGGAACACAAGCAGGGGGAGTGGAAGAGGCAGAAGCAGGCATCCCGCTGAGCTAGGAGCCCGATGATTCGGGGCTCGATCCCAGGAGACTGGGATCATGACCTGAACAGAAGGCAGCCGCTTAAGGGCCTGAGCCACCCAGGTGCCCCTAAAATCTTTTTTTTAAGATTTTATTTATTACGGGGCGCCTGGGTGGCTCAGTGGATTAAACCTCTGCTTTCAGCTTGGGTCGTGATCTCAGGGTCCTGGGATCGAGCCCCACATCGGGCTCTCTGCTCAGCGGGGAGCCTGCTTCCTCCTCTCTCTCTGCCTGCCTCTCTGCCT